TCTTCCGATGCAATTTATTTTCATTAAACTTCAAGTAAGAAAAGAAACAATATATATCGTGAAGATTGATTTTTAGATCGGAAAAAAGAGATCGTTATTATGTAACTCTTAATTGTAATAAATTTTTATTTTTAGGCAGCAATGCGGTAATATCCATAATGAATATTTATGATATAAATCTTCAAGGGCAGTTCCTTTCTTAATAATCACTCCTCTTACGGATTTCAAATTTTTTTTGAACACATCAGCAAGTTATTTAAAGCAGTAGTAGTTTACGCAATCATCTAGAGACGATTATAAATAGCGGATCCATTCGGAGGAACTCGACAGAGTCAATGAATCGTTGGGACTTTAACGCTAATAGTATCTTCAATTCTTAACTGTGAGAATAACGAATTAAATTTTCTGCTAGTTTCGTGCGTGCGACTAAAATTTATAGGAATTTAAATATTAGAAATGACATATTTCACGAGAACGTTTGTAATTTCTGTAACTGTACTGATAATGATCAGTTTATCGCTAACGACTTGCCAGAATAATGAGTATCTTCCACCAACACAACTCAACAATGAGTATCTTCCATCATCACAGACCGGCAGATATGAACAACAGAACGAGTCTTATCCCAAAGATATTGAAGGAGAGACTTATCCTGCTTATCCTGCTCGCGCTTATGTCATAACTGTACCGAATAGACCGAAATGTCCGAATGAACAACGAATGGATAAACACGGAAAGTGTCGACCGGTGATATAGTCATTCATTAAGGTAATGTTTTTGTTAATTGCTTGCATTTAATAACTAAAAATGGCAAACATAAAATTGATAATAAGATAAAACTGTTTTGAGATCTTTTTGTCTTTTAAAACAAAACTTTTTAAGAAAAATAAAATCTCATGTCAATCAGAAAATCATTAATGATAAAATAAGATAAATAGAAAATGTTTTATTGATTTGTTGATATAATGTCGAAAGAAAAATTGTTTCTTAGTATTAAATTTTTGTTTAGAAAATTGTTAAATTAATTTATATATTTTTTTATGTTTTCTTTTTAGTTTGAATTTATTTGTGCAATCTTTCTAGCGTCAATAGAAAGTATTTACTATAATTCTTATGAACAAATATTGTAAAAAATTACGTATAAGTCAATTTTAAATATATTTCTTATCCACTTTTATGAACAGATTGAGATGAGACAGTTTGAAATTATTAGAGATTATGTATCATTACCTAATCATTTTCTAATATCTTGAGTTACATATCGACTTATCAACTGTTATTAGTGCAATTTGTCATTTTACTTACTTCGTCATTTTACCTCTTTTTTTCTACTTATTTAGCACAGTGGAATCTAAAATAGTATTTTATTTTTGATAATTATCAATTTTTTGAATAATTATAGTTTAATTTTGTTGTAAATTTATTCTTATTTTATATAAGTCAATTTTAAGATATTATAATTTATTCTATTCTTACGTTGCAGTTTGAATATACACAAGTAGACCTCATGGTGTTCAATATTGGCGATTGAAGGCTTATTGGTGCATTTGTTTGCACTAATAATAAATAAAATACATAAAAAGCAGTAATTATTGGATATTAGATATTATACATATAACCATGGAAATAGAATATATAATCATGGCTGAGGAATTCGTTAACATCTGGTCTTTATAAGTGTTGGGGGAAGTTCTATTAGGACAGAAATTTTTATTTTATCTAAATGTATGTAATATGTACATTGCGTCTTTTATTATAAAGACATATATTACAATTAAATGATAAGATACTGATAATTGAACTTTTAGAATTTGTATAGACATATTGAAGATTGTAAAAGAATTATACTTTAATTGAAATAAAAATTTTGCAGAAGTATAATAACATAGAAATATTTTTAGTCAAGTAATGCGTCTTAATTTAATATAATTATACGATTTTACTTTTTTATTTGCATGTTATAGATTCTAATTTTACTTTTTTGTATTTTTGTAGATTTAAAAAAAGGGCATTTTAAAATATAAAACAGCATGATAAATTCTTAGAAACTTCAAACATTTTATTTTATTATTAAATATTCCTTTTTTATAATTTATTCTTTATATTCTTATTGCGTTTTAAATAGGGCAATTTTAATATTTGTAAGTACTTAATATATATTTTTGCGTATGTACAAAATATGATACACTGTAGGTATGTAGTCGGATCCGACGTAATTCTTGGGATCCACCGTAATTATAGTTATAATTGACTTACAAGTTAATTGCTATCCTACTCGAGTACGTATTATGAAAAGAAAAAGTACGAGTTATTGTACTCGTACATAAAATTCCTTTCCCGCATGCCATAGTATTGATCGTGACCATCTGATAGCACAATTTATTTGTCTATAATAAGAATATTGCAATTCAAATGTAGATATAAAATAAGAATTAATTTTGTTAAATGTACTATTAAATACGGAACGTGTATGTAATACGGGCCTTGGTCTTCGCATTGTGAAATTCACGGGCCCGCATTGCAAACATGTAAAGAGATAAAAGACACTCGTACAAAAACGCATCTGCATGATCTGTTATTGAAAATTCATACTCCGAATGGTTTATACGAATGAAAAGTGGGAGGATCCATGAGGACATTGCTCAACGGGCAGGAGACGCGGCGGTAGGTACTACTAATTACTTGTACTTTTTATTCCATGCGAATATAATGCCGTTGAGACAGCCTCGGAGCGAGGAGGTCGCCGCGCGCCGATGGAAAAAAGGAAGGCGTGCAAAGAGAGAAGGTGAAGTAAAAAAGAGACACTGCCGCGCGAGAAAGATCGGTGGAGGGAATATGTAAAAGGGGCAGGGTAGGGGGAGTAGTTGGAGTGCGTTACTCAAAGCTTTAAAGTCATCTATACGCCATCAGTGAGCCACACGTACGTATGTATGTGGGGGCCCCAAACCGCGCGTACATGCTCGTAAAATCGCCATGGCGCAGGAGGCAGGTCGGACTCCTGATTGAGTTACGATTTAATTAGTCCGCGCGGCCAATCAGTAATTAAGATATCCGCTAATCAACGGGCGCGGCCCTTCTTCGATCTCTCTTTCTTCTTCGCGGGTTCGCCGCTGGAAAACTTTTGTCATATTCTCTCTCTCTCTCTCTCTCTCTCTCTCTCTCTCTCTCTCTCTCTCTCTCTCTCTCTTCTTTTTTCAAAATATTATTCTCATGTCTTTTATATTGTTCTTAATCTGTTCCAGATTAATTTCCATTTCTTTTTCATTAGTTATCAATTTATTATCAAACTTGAAATTATTATATGATCATTATTGCGTCTTGATTATTCAATCAAATGATTTATTAAATTATTTTGATTGGAAATTTTTATGTCGTTGGGTAGAAAGATTGGCTTCATGTTATATCTTGTTTATATCCAAGTTTCTTATTTAATACATTACTTGTTTTTTATTAAAATCGTGTTTGTAATGCTTAAGTTTCATCTGCCTCAATGAGAAAAATACTGAATGTTCCCGGCATCTGCCGGAAGAAGACAGAACACGATCGAGGACATGTCTGATAAACGAGCACCATTTCTTCAGCCACCTTTTTACAGACCTGTTTAACATGCATAGTCCGGTCCAAAGAGAAGACATTGTACAGATTTTATGTATGCTAATAATTTTTTTCACACTGTGTGAAACGATGCACACATGTATATGTTTATTGTTTATACAATAATTCTGTTATCATTTTAAAAAATGAATGCTTCCTTCGAGTGCGTATACGAGATTAAATTCCGTATCAGCCGGTTGGGTGATATAACGTTTTGATTGCAATTAATAGCCGCCGGCTGCGTTACGGTCGGTTAATTGTCGGGGAAAGATTAATGGCGCGAAATCACGCCACTAACAGTAGATCGTTCGACACCGATTTTTGTATCGGTGCACATCTTTATAAATTTCTGTTTGGTTGGACTTCTTGCAAGGAAATAATGCATTTAATTCATATTTTATTAAAATGTTTACTATTACAAGTGACAGAATTAAAAATTGGTATAATGTCCAAGTTACTGCGGAGATTAATTCGAGTAAAATTTATTTAGAACAAAAATTATATATTGTAAAATTTAAGATATGACAAATTTATGCAATTTATATACTTACGTAAATTTATATAAGTATATAAACCTAGCATTTCTAAATACAATGTTTCTTTATTGTACACCAGAGTTATGCAAATTAATCAAATCCAGACGTATGTGCAGTGTTCGTATATAATTTAGCCTGGTTGCGAATTGCGATACATCACGAAAGTGAGTATACGCGCTTTGGAACGCGTGATTGCAATCTCTTAATATGATACGTGATTGCGCAATATAACACTCTGTCTCATCTCGATTCCATTTATCCGGCAATCAATGGAAGACTGCAGCCAATGAGTTTTAATGCGTTTCCTAGATAATAATAAATAGTTTCTAATAGAACTGCACGCGTGTTACATTGCAGTACCGCGTGATTAACGAAGCGAAAATAAATACCGTAACGTTGCTCCATTTCCACAAAACAAGTAAATATAGCTTTTTAGATATCGATCGCGTTAGCATTTTCTGCATTAATATAAAATTGTGAGAAAAAGAAATGTTTTTTTATAAGCCTCACTCTAGTTCCGGTTGCAGATCATGATATCAAGGATAAAGTAAGAGTAGGGATAACAATCTTAACACGTACGTATTGTGAAGCGGCTCATTTCATCGCCGCGAAACTGGTCCGCATTGACATCAGGGGGTCTGATTTATAACAGAATCCTGGGTTACCGATGAGAATGGATAGATTCTACCTTACCGTCGTCCATGAGGCAACGGTGTGCCCCAGGAAGATCCGGCGAGACCCGGATGTATGTATGTACTACGCGCGGGGAGATACTCCTTGATCCGCGGCAGATTCCAGATTGCTTTGGCGATTATGCCCCGATTCGAGATTTACGGGCGAGCGAAGCCGTCCAGGATCGCCGTTTATTTATAGTTATGGGGAATCACTTATTGCACACAAGTATTGCAACCGCTCGCTCGCTCGCTCACTCGTTCTCTCCTTCATCTTCTCTTTCTCTTTCTTTCCTGGCACTCCTCTTCATCGGCCGCACGCGTGAGCGCGCTTTTAACGCACTCGTCGAAGACGACCACCCGCGGTATCGGGCATGGGAATGCAGCTGCAGACAAACACAAGATACAATCTCGCATCTTGACAGAACAGCAGCTTTAGAGAAGACACTTTTAATTACATTCCTAAGAAACTTTAATTATTATAAGATTTAGACAAATACGTTTTTTTTTTCAAAATTTTATCTTTATTTCATCCTAATTTAATTATTCTTATCTCGATTGGTTCTTGCAAAATTAAATCTAGCATTCTTCTTTTTTATTGTATTTTGATAGTCAATAGTAATGTTTTTTTATTTTCTAAACACGAGATAAAAAATAAATAATTTAACTAAAGAGTATTTGCTTATATATTTCCTGCTACCAAGCTTACGACATATGATGCAAGTTAATTAACGATCGTGCCACAAAACGACAATATTATTTCCAGAAGTATTAGGTTCTTCGCAATCTTACGTCATGATTGCAGGTACTGTCGCAGCGCGCGCGTTGCACACTTATTAATTTGCTCCGAAACGCAAGCGGACGGGATAGTTTGCGCGAGATATTCGGACAATTTAACGAATCCTTTTCAACCTAAGACATGTAAGTTAACGTGCGCTCGTGTCCGCGAGCGGTTTCTCGCGGAGACAAGCGCGTTTTCTTACGAGCTATAATTTACAATCACGTCGCGGAAAAAGAACCGAAATATTCGCGAGTCTGACGTACAAACGTAGCCGAATGCATGGTGTATACATATATACACTATACGGCGGTCGCTAACGAATGCACATGTATTATCCCGCGGTAATTACCATATCAAGGTCTCGTTGCTGATCCCTAACACCGTCCTAATTGCCACGCTCGACAATTTATTAAATTGCTCTATTATGAGGCCCTGTTCTCTTCCCCACCTTCTCTCGATCGTTCGTCCACCTCACGCGAGGCTTTAAGGATTCGCACCCTCTACCCCCTCCCCCCCCCTCCCCCGGCCTCGGCGCGCGATTTCGTCGGCTGCGGGGCAAATCGTGCGGGCACTTTGTGCACATTGTTTATGGAAATCGCAGCGGGACGTTGCAATGCGCCTCATTCCGCATATTTTAAAGCATGATTACTATGCGGATGATTGCGCCGTTTTACATACAGCACTCGTTGGCCGAGTGGTCACATTTTGGAGAACGCGATGCGTCGTCTCAATGTTCCAAATTAACGTTGCATCATCAGGCGGCACGGAATGAGTGCACGTATATGCATATGAGTGCGCGTGGAAATGTTGCGCTAACAGGAAATTAGTTAAGAAGCACGGGCAATGACCTTCACGAAACTTCATTATCGACGAAGATTTCAGCGTGTGATAATACATATGTATATAAGATTATACAATTATAATGAAATATGTTTTATACTTAGCAATTTTCAGCCTCTACATAGGCTGCGTTCCGATATTCACTGCAAATACTGAAAATCTATAATATACGTTACGTGCACTATAGATTTTTTTAGCACCGGCAGTGAATATCGGAACGCAGCCATAATAATTGAGTGAAGAAGGTCAGAGACCTTTATCGGTCAGAGATAAAGATCTTATATAAGACTGATAAGACCTTTTTCATTTATATTACTCTCCTTCATCGGTTTTTTATACTTATTATTTTATATATTTCATCTTCGTATAAGTTTAATTTGTACATGAAAATAATTGTAAAAATATTTTCTAATAAGAAATTACTATTCATATTATAATGACTATCGCAAAGTGATCTTAACAATGCATTATAGCTTCATCGGCACGCAACAATTCGTGCTTAGACACGCGTAAATTGCAACTAGAAGATGCTATCGCTACTAAATTCATTATACGTGCGCACAAAAACGGCAGATGTCCGTGCGTCCGTTAAAATGACGCAAGAGCCACATTTCACTGACAATGCCGTTTACACCGCATTCAGCGCTAATGTCCAAGTCTCTAAAGTTTTAGGTCTCTTTCTTTTTAGCGAAGAAAAGATTCCGTGATAGCAGCGATGACGAACAGGCTACTTGTTTAGGAGAAGTGATAAACATAACGTGTACGCGCAGGTGAGGCAAAAAGGACCGCGGTACACCATCGGTTTGCCTCTGCTGTAAACATTTTTACGATTATGCTAATTCCACGACGTTGACTCTTCGGGCTGACGGGCTTGTAATTATGTGTACCATCTTCATATTGGTACCACAGTCATCACTCAATAACACTACTACGAGCATACAACCAGCTGTTTCAACCTTCAGCCATAAAGGAATGAAACGCGCAATTCAAGTTTTTGTATATTTGATATATATTCTATGTTAAATACTTATGTTTTGCAATATTCAATAATTAAATGTGGATTGAAGCAGGAAAGGCCTTGATTGACAATGTGGTACTTGAGGAAATAACATTAAAATGTTTTTTTAACAAAGTTGTAGTAAGATATTCTACTTTGAAACATCATTTAAATTGTGACAACTTCAGCATTCCCGCAAATTTTTAATTTTTTCCTTAATATCTGCGATAATATTTTCCGAATAAAGAGAGCTTCCCAGACAATATAAAGTCCAAAATCATTAAAGACATCTTTGCGAAAAATGTTTCAAAGGCGTCTAAGAAACGTTTCGATTTTGTACTTTATGCTGTCTGGGTTATTTATAAAATAATGTATGCTTGGCAGTAAGTTTGTGGTAATAAATCACGCGATGCAATACTGTACTTTGTGTAATGAAATTGGGTAAATGAAAAGCGCCTTTACTCATTCTGCTAAGTATAGCTATAACCATCTCGAAGTGGGGAGCGGATATACCCGTGAATAGAACGAAAGTGAGACACATATAGGATAGTGAGAAAATGTAAGATATGAGGAAAAAGGAGTGCCATGCGCTTGAATATGCTATATAAATTCCGAAATGGATCGATGACCGTTCTCACGTGCTTACAGCCGTACGAAGAAGATTGCGTCAGAGCATATGCAACTGGTGTCGTGACTCATCTTCATTCGCAGTTCTCACGAAAATTATCGCTTATGTTCGATATATGCATTATATATCAATGATACATCTACTTTCAACTATAATTATATTTTATCCATCCAAAATATCGTTATTAATCTCTTTATTAATCCACTTTAGATATCGATAACGTTGTGTCGAGACCAAATATGTTATTTTTTGATAACGGTACTTGCAACATATTTGAATTACTCTTGAATAAAAATAGAATAAAATATAAAGGCGGTTTCTTTCACATTTTATTTCTCTAATGTTAAATATTTGGAGTAATAAAATTTTGCGGCATATCTACTGAAGCTTCTTGATATTTTCATTATTTGCAATTCTAAAATTCAATTGCAAAAATTTATAAGTTTCAATTTAAAATTTTTTAAATCAAATAATGTTTTCGTCAATTAGTTTTAAAAATTGCTCTTTTTTATTTGATTGTTGAAAAAACTAGTATTTTTTTATACATACTTTACATCTTCAAGGACGGCGCGGCGTGACAAATTTAACTTTACCGATCGCCATAAAAAATACCATGTTATAAAACGCGAGAGTCATGACTCGAGTATTGCTTCCAGAAATACTTTTACCCCACTCTCGGCGTCCCCTACAGTACCATACGATTGGTGGAAGTCGAAAGATTCAAGTAGAGAAGAAAGTCTCATCGAGCTGGATCGATGAAGAACATCGCCCATCACGTGCGTGAATTGCGTCATGTTACGCGTGCGCAATGTCACGTTTCCTTCTTCGAAACCACGAAGCGGTTCGAAGTATTCTGTATTTAATACAGATATTTAAATTAGAATCATACGAATGCAAAACTTCGCGCAAATCTTTAAAAATATTTAATAAATTATCGTTCTTCAATTTCGAGATTTTCGGGACTGTACCGTACAGATAGTCAAGGACATGTCACATATTTCGTCATTGTCTGGTCGCTCGTAAAAGCTGTATAAAGTGGGGGTAAGGTCACCTTGGCGATCCACATCCCTGAACTGTCAGTCCAGTAGAAGAAGCAGTGCGCCAACTGCAACGCGTTCAGTCTGTGTTCGACAGTGTCGAGTACTAGTGTCAAGAATACTTGTCGAGGTAAAGACTCTCTTCAATCTTATCTTACTTAAAATTATTTTTAATTACAAAATCTCACGGTATGCTAAACAAAAACAAAAAAATGATAATGTTTAAATAACAATTAATGTATATAATTTTATTAACTTAATTATTTGACATTTAAATAAATTTGCTCAATGAATGATTCAGTTCAATTAATTTCAGATTTAATTTTTCAGATGTAATTATCTACAATTGTTCGATTTAATTATCTACAATTAATTTGTTAATGTTATTAATTTATTTATATTATTTATTTATATTATTAATTTGTTAATGTTTTGAAATATTTTTAACGTGGTAGTCAAAGTTCTTTGTTATATTTTCGTTGCTTGATTAGCTGCATGTTATCAGCCGGTGCTCGTTATCTGTGATAGAACATACGTCGATAAGACATGTGCATGTTACACTATGTACCGTTACCGGTATATTGCAATTTATGCATGCGTTTTCTGACTTCCCGTACAAAATATAGTAAGTTAATAATGAATACTGTACGAGTCTCTATCTTGTCGGTCAAGCGTTTATTAGCGAACTTTGATTAATGATCTGACCGCGATTCTCGCGAACTGGTGAGTAATAAAATTCCACTGTACTCTCCACGTGTTTCTCCGCTTCACAGTCCGCTTCGCACGTTGCACCTAGTTGAAATGCCGGTATATACCTTGAGGAAATCGCCGATTATACCGGTACTGCCATCTGACAACTGTATGCAACATCCGTTGCATTCGCTGCAGGTGCAACAAGTAGAAACTGGCGAAACTGCACAATACAGTTTACGATCGCGTCATTCGAAATGGCATTTGCCGACACAATTTCTTTAAAAAAAAAGATCTTGATGCGAAAAATTGATAATAAATAAAAATTGATCATTGACAAAGTCAATAAACTCGTGTTAACGACTGCAGTTGAAATGATATAACTTTTATTAGAAAGAAGTTTTGTTAAGTAGTAGAGTCTGATAGAACGGTCAAACTTTGTAACAAGCATGTTTTTAATAATGATTTTTTTAATCCTCACAATATAGTTAATTATTGGTATTGATTTTTACGAACTATTTTAAATTTATAGTTTTTTTTATTACTCGTAAATCGTACTAATAATTAATGAAAAACATGAAAACTAACATAAACGTGCTAACATAAACGACACATAAGTATATGTTAAAACGTAAATTAAGATTTTTAAAACGTAAATGAAGTTGATATTAATACATTATTAAATTATAATAAATATTTGCAGAAAATGGCAACATTAAAGGATCAACTTTTATCTACTGTGACGAAACCGGTGTCAACCGGTAGAAATAAAATCACAGTGGTCGGTGTCGGTCAAGTTGGAATGGCCTGTGCTTTTAGCATTTTGACAGACGTAAGTTAATTTTATTAAGCAACAATTATTAATATCAAATAATATTTTATATATAAGTTAATTTTTATTACTAACTATATGAATCTTATTTTTTATACAAATAATAGCATAAAGTTGTAGCCTAAATAATCGTATATGTATTCTGTTACATTGTAATCACAGTGACTTACATGTATACATGCAAAATTACATCACTCGGTATTGCAGCATGTTTCGAGCGACGTGGTTTTAATTGATGTGATGGCGGACAAACTAAAAGGAGAGATGTTAGATTTACAGCACGGCAGTGCGTTTATGAAGAACGCGAAAGTGAGTGCCAGCACAGATTACGCCATGACTGCAAACTCGAGTCTCTGCATCGTGACAGCGGGTGCTCGTCAGCGCGAAGGAGAAACCAGATTGAATCTGGTTCAACGTAACACCGACATCTTCAAAGGCATTATACCTCAGTTAGTTAAATACAGCCCGAATACGATTCTCCTCATTGTTTCCAACCCGGTGGATATTTTGACTTATGTGGCATGGAAATTCTCCGGCTTGCCAAAGAACAGAGTTATTGGCAGCGGTACGAATCTAGATTCTGCCCGCTTCCGTTTTCTGTTATCGCAAAAACTTAGTGTCGCACCTACGTCTTGCCATGGCTGGATTATTGGAGAACATGGTGATACCAGTGGTATGTAAAACATTTCTTTTAAATAAAAAGATTTTCAATAACAGTTGAATAAAATAAAATAAAGATATAATTAATAATTTTATAAATACAGCTTTCTTTGTTCTTTCTTCAGTCAAAAATTTAATTCTGTTATTATAATTGCACGTGTTAATAAAATATAATAAAAAATGTGTATTATAATTATACAAAATATTTCTTATGAAAGATATTTTATTTTTTCGTTTATATCAGTGCCTGTATGGTCTGGAGTTAATGTCGCCGGAGTACGTTTACGTGATTTAAACGAACACGTGGGTACCGACAAAGATGAGGAACATTGGGACGAGTTGCATAAGCAAGTAATACAAAGCGCGTATGAAGTAATCAAACTAAAAGGCTACACTTCATGGGCAATAGGTCTCAGTGTGTCACAACTTGCATCAGCTATACTAAGAAATTCTCATCAAGTGCATGCTGTGTCTACGCTAGTTACTGTAAGTCGACAATAAAGGTTTCTACATTAATTTACAATATTTATCTTACATGTTCTGTAATAAAATATATTTTTAATCTCATTGAAATTTATAATTGTATATTTTGTTAAACATAATTAGACAAAAAAAAAATTATTAAACGAATATCATATTTTCCTTTTTTTTAAACTTATTTTTAATAATTTTAAAGTTTGAGCAATAATATTATTGCTCAAACTTTGAAAAAGTTTTATTTTATATTTTTTATATTAATTATACACATAGTATTAAAATTTTATTACATGTAAATAGTTATATATTAATTTTCTATTAAAGTATATTAATATTAATTATTTCATAATGCGCGAAAAAATGCATTTGAAAATAACATTCAGTAATCTTTAGGGTCATCATGGAATTAACGATGAAGTATTCTTATCCTTACCTTGCACATTGGGTGAAGATGGCGTAACGCACATCGTTCAGCAAAAGTTAACAGACGATGAGCTTGCATCATTGCATAAATCGTCAGAGATAATGCACAAAGTGCAAAAAGATCTTAAATTTTAAACGTATATTATCCATATTTATTTTACTTTTTATTATATTCTATTTGTGTATGTTTATGTTTTTGATGCTATTTCATATGCAATTTATATGTATTTAAACGTATTTGATAAAAGCAGTATTACATATACAATTTTAAATATTTATTTTTTAAATATTAATAAATTAATTTTGAAAAAAGTTTACAACTCTCTTTAAATAATTGACATACATATACTATCCATGTATGTGTTATATATGTATGAAGAGACTAAGAATATACATAAATTGTTCGAATGCTAAATTTATTTTTTATTATAATTTTTATATGGTTTGTGACTTTGACTAACATAAATATGAACTGCTAGTCCCCTCATTTTTACTATGTAAAAGACATATGCCCGATGTCGCCGAGGTGAAGTTGGTTGAGGGATTGAACTTTGACTTTCTCTACCCCAGTCAGTAAAAAAATATCAAATATGTCAAAATGTATTAAATGTTATGTTGAAAATTGATAGGGAGCCGAAAAAAATTTCAAATCGACGGAATGAAATTAAAAACAGACTCAGCATCTTTCCTTTATACGTCGTAAACACGCTAATTTCACAGGAGCCTTTCCCCTCCCCGCAGAAAATTATTAACTGGGGTGGAGTCTACATCTTCCAGCTTGGCGACACGTATGAAGTTAATTACTATCAGTCCATACTTATATATAGTCAAAGATTTATTTATCTTTAGAAATATCTCTAGAAATATCTTTTATTGTCATCTAAAGGTATATAGATATTTATTCTACGATATTGTACGTAACTATATTTATGTCATTATACTTTTAATAAATTTGACGATTTAATTATTTCTAGCATTTTCATGTCAAGTATGTTTATTGAATGTATTGCCTATAAAGCGCATAAAGATAAGCAAGTAAATTTATTTATATGTATAAAAATATATATATATAAATTTAAACCTAGACAGTTAAAAAATATATATATATAACTTATATTAATCATTCTGCGTGCTTTATTTAAACAATGCTGCTTATTTTGTGATAATGTAATGAACGATTTTTATTATAACAATCTATGTATATTTATATATGTGCATATAAATAATAACATATAATTTTATGAAATTTTAATATTATTATAAATATTATAAATTGTGCGTAATAACAAACTATTTTTATATAACTAACAAAGTAAAGAAAGCAAATAATGTAAGTATTTTAAAATTATTAATGAATTTTGTACATATCTCTTGATGCATCTTTTTTTGAACGCCTATTATAATAAATTTTAGTAACCATGGATGCGTTTAACAATTGGCGAACCGACATGATGATGGCCATATGCCAAGAATGTTATGTCGGCCGATTATAATTACAGTGCACTCTCTCTTTTCAAGAAAAAAACGATTTCATGCAATGTGACGGGCGTGGGTGAAAACGATCGTGCGACGTTTACAAAACCGATAAGCGACAGAAGCAATGGTTTTATTACCTCTACTGTCAAGCTCGTTCATACCGATATGTCTGGGGAATCTTTCACGCGTGACATTAAGAAGAAACCTTGTCAGAAACCGATATACTCGCACTTTACCGCCGACGATTTTAACAAAAATCTTTGAAAGTAATAAAGGAAAAACTTTCGGGAAAGATGCGACTTCTGATTCGAAAGTACAGAAAGCGATTAATTTCGTGTAAGAATTTTTTCGCTGTCATGTATATGACATGTAATGACGTATTTGTATTTTTAAAGAAAATATTAAAATTTAATTTATTTTAAAATTGTTTTAATAAATTAATTTTTCTTGATTACATTTGCTTTTCATTTTTTTGGACACCTATGGTTATGTTTTATTTAAAAATAACACAAATTTAGGTATTATAATTTCTAATATATATATATATGACGACATAATTTCTTATATTCTTTATTTTCAAACAATTTTATGACATTTTTTACAAGATAAATATTTTATTTTATATATACGTAGTATATGTAGAGAATTTTATAAGTCAATTGAGCTGTCTTATAAAATAAAATTATTATTTGTATTAAATCTAAATTTAAATATTTCTAATATAACTTATACCGAGGATTTTTAATATAATTACTAGAGGATCTTTTGAAGAAAGTGTAATCGATTATAATCGATTCTTTTGAAATAGCTGACAAATAGTTTACAAAATATTTATAAATAATTATTTCGTCGAAATATTAAAGGAAAGCAAATTATTGGAATTTTAGTTCACCGTGCTTGCGAGAAGAACTCTTGTGCAAGATGTCAGAATCAGTTAGAGATGGTACCCATAAAGTCACTATTGTCGGTGCTGGAATGGTTGGCGTTGCTCTCGCCAATTCACTTCTTTTTCAGGTAGCTCATTTCTTTAAATCTTTCGCAATTGGAATTTTAAACAGTTTGAATTATGATTACTTACTTTAAATTTACTTTGTTAGTTTAGTTTACTTCAAATTAAAGTAAAAATTTATATATTGTATAAATAGAATCAAAGAAAATACATAATGTTATTATATTTGCATTAATGATGTTATATTATACATAGCCTTGTATGTTTTAAATAAAAAAATGAAAATATATTAAAATTTCAATTTCTATTGGTATATTTTGTAAACTTTTGTTATTATTTTATTAAATATTAGCGAATTACTCCGCATATCGCAATGGTAGATATCTTTCCTAAAAAGTTGGAAGGCGAAGGACTTGACTATAGACATAGTTCTGTATTCATAGATGATCCAACGATCGAGTATGATACAGGTAATGGATCCCATGAATATGTATTAACTGCAAAAATCATAAATTATTTATTCATATGTACTATGATAGTTACGCACATACTGACTGGTGATTATAACCGTAATTGTAACTTTATAGTTAACAAGAATATATATAAATTCTTCTCTCATCGCAACAATTTTCTTTTGACTTGTATTTCAAAATACAAACATACTTCTTTTGTAGATTTTTGTGTGACGAGCAATTCGAAAGTCGTAGCTATTTGCGCGGGTGTACGAGCAGTAAAGGGTGAAACTCGACTTGACTTGGTGAAAAGAAATGCAGAAATATTAAAAATTATAATACCACCTCTAGTAAATTACAGTCCAAATGCGGTGTTTGTTATCATCAGCAATCCAGGTTAAAATTAATGAATTAAGTAAATAATTTTATTAATTAGTACATAATGAAAGCAAACATTATAGCAATAGATTTACGTAATTACATAATTATATATGTAATATTTGGAAATTTTGAACATTACAGATCAAATATTTATTCGATTAAAAAAATCTGATATTGTACATATAGGTGTAAAAAGTATTTTTCCTATATTAAAAAAATATATCATACATACACGCATAGTATGATTAATAATAAAAAATATTGACAATAATAAAAATGATTTTTTTTTATTTAAGTAGATAACAAAAGCTTATTATTTAATAAAATAATTTGCGTTAATAAAATCCTTAGGATTGGGAAAAAAAATATTAAAAGATTTAAATTTTAATTTACGTGCAAAAGCTGTACCAAAAATAGATTAAATATTGTTAAGAAAATCCTTATTTTAAATAATTATTTCAAGTAAATAATGTATTGTTTATCAAAAATATGATGTTAGCTTGCAATTTATTAATATTTAACGTATTATTGATTTATTATTAATATTTAACGTTAGCTTATAACGTTAAATATGTTGCATAAATAATGCCAGGATGAGAAAATATAAATGAAATATAAATGTGATTTTCTCGTATAGTGGATATCTTGGCATGGGTTGCCTGGAAATTAAGCGGACTTCCGGTTCATCAGGTATTCGGTAGCGGAACTCATCTGGATAGCGCAAGATTTCGCTGTCTGATTGCTGATCGACTAGGCGGAATAGCGCCGAAATCGGTCCACGCGCACATAATTGGCGAACACGGGGACAGTATGGGTAAGCTTTATCGATTGATCTTTGACATTTGACACGGGGAGAAAGGCGATGTTACGCATTAAGAGCGATCTATCATTCGATGTTTCCTAGTTCCGATCTGGTCCGGAGTGAACGTTGCGGGAGTGCAGTTCCGCGATGTTATTCCGAATATCGGCCTGGAGACGGATGATGAAAAATGGTTCGAAATATCAAACTATGTAGTGAAGCTGTAAGTTCAATAATTTTAAATGAATAGAAAAATTATTAATTTTTATGCAGGGAAATATCAATTGCTGTACGTTGTCAGATAGTATTATATATATTTGTAAAGATTTGAATTCCTATCGAAGATTTAACTTACATCCAAAATTTACAAATAATATTTAATTAAGTTACATTATATTATACAAAATCAAAGAATAATTATGCAGATATGTATATAATTAATAAATAGCTTTCTTAAAAAAAGTATTTTTGTAGCACTTTGCAAAAATTTACTATTTCTTTATTTCTTCAGAGGCGCCATGGTGCGATGTCTGAAAGGGTACTCAAATACGGCCATTGGACTTTCTGCAGCTGACATCATAAAAGCCGTATTACGCAATTCTCAAGCTATTATGCCAGTTTCGACCCATGTGCAGGTATAAATTAGTAGGCGTGTTGCTGCATTCAACTGTTAATTCAAAAATATTTTATTCACAATGAAAGAATCATATTTAGTTTCAGCTAACATTTAATCACTAATTTTTGTTTATGTATTTTCAAAAATTAAGATAACAAAATATATTTAAATTGAATATAATGTTCGCAGTTTTCAAAGAAGTTATTATATTATTACATTATTAGCATACAAAATTGTAATGTTCTATACCAAAATTTCTTCTTAGGGTCATCACGACGTATGTCACGATATGTTCCTGTCCCTACCTTGCGCAATTGGCGAAGATGGCATCACGCAGATAGTACGAATGCACATGACCGAACACGAGAAAAAGCTGTTCCAGGCTTCAGCGAACGCCGTGTACAAAGTGCAGAAGGACATCAAAGTCAAGTAATGTGGCGTGCCTGAAAAGGGATCGTGCAAACATGTTCAATTTCTTGTAAAAAAAAATACGAGTGTAATAAATTATATGTAGCTTGTCCCAGCACTTTGTTCCCGTTATGATCGCCACCGCAAAACCATTTACCCGCACAATCGAATCCTTTCCCGACTCGTACGGGGAGACACGCGGCAACCGCGAATACTCCGATTGCTAATTTATGCAAATCTGGATGAAGACTATAAATGGATTCTTCGAATTACGTCTTCTCAAATTCCGCGATAATTTGAATCGATGGAATGGTCCCCGAGAATGACGATATTCTCTCGCTAACGATCTTCAGAATCCTGAAATCGACAAGTTAATGACGTCAATGACCTATTTTATAATACCTGGCGATATCTGGCACACGTGACGTTTTGTTTGCGCAACTCGAATCTTCTGTTGCTTCCGAGTAAAGCTTTCTAATAAACGGTGGAATGAACATTTTCGGGTTTTCCCGTTTGCATAGATATCATTGGCACCTCCGGAAAGCGGTAAGAGGTGCACGTCATCGTGTTCCCGACGCGTGAACGAGCGAAAGGTGACCGGTGGATGGTACCAGAAGGCCATGATTATGCCGCAGGCTAGGCCACGGCAAGGTGAGAGAAGGATGCGAAAACCGTGCGCAAGATGGCGTTTTGGAAGTGCTATACCTGCGAATATACGTACCTGCAACCACCTGCGTTTGAACGGCCGCGCAGGGCCGTAAGAGAGTCCGATCTATCCTTGGAGGAACGAAGCATCGCTACGTAACGAGATAGTCGCGCATCCTGATTTTTATCTTTGGATATATCGTAATTAGGTATCGCTAATGATATGGTCGATGACGACATGAAGGAAACGATGAAAGATGATTCAGTGTTAAGGTAAAGAGCAATGAAATGTGGAAACTTCTGGTGATATTAATATTGCCGCGAGAGCGGCACTTTGAACCGTTCCCCTTTTACTTGCCGCAGATCCACTTGAAAGGCCAGGCGTGTCGGTTGATTTTGAAAGAGGAATTCCGCGTAAACCATATGTCACGGGTACTTGCGACAGAGTTACATAAATTCCTAGTTCACTTCAGACAGCAGTAGACGCGACCTAGGGTGACTCCGAAACCAATATCTAATTCGATTAGGCGACGCGCCGCGCCGTTCGACGAGTACGACAAGCGTAGGAATGGAATTGCCACTCTCAACGTTTACTGCCTGTCTATTAAATTATGATTAATATATCACTCAAGACACGCGTCAAATCGTTAGTTTATCCGACACGCAATCAGTCTTTGTTCTATCCTTATTTCTCATGAAATTGCGATAGAGAAGTGTTGATTTTACATTATTTTTCATATGACTTTCCCGTGATTGATACTTTAAATATCTTTCTTTGCGGCCTTTTGACGCTTATGCTACTATTACATGATATTGATATATACATTGCGCATATGTACCCGTCTCCAAGATTGAAAAATTGAGAAGATAAATATTTGGCAGAGCAACACAAATTTAATCAGTTTAAAAAGTTTAAGCAATTATCTAAACACTCGATGTCTAATATTCCTGCGTTTGATGCAAATTCAAAGTTTGCACAACTTTGCTGTCTCGGGATTATAGCTTATCAAAAGATGTCAAAATGATATTTCAAAGAATATGAAGATGCGTTTATACACGTCGCTGCTTGCTTCTTTCTATTCAGTTCGAAGAGAAGCTCGATCCAACTTGAAACACTTACTCCAAGCAGGTTCAATACGAAATGGGTACTGCAGGTGACGCTCACATCCCTGGCTCTCAGGTAGAGGTGGCACAGCCGGGCCCCGTTCTCCGTTGGTCCCGCCGTCCTTAGTGCGGAGCTCAGTCAGTAGACAGTCGATCCGCCTGGTCAGCTGGTTTTAACCATTCGCGTATTATAGAACTCCCTGATGGTAATTCAATCGCGAGCGACTAGGTAGATCCCGGTGTCGATCTTCCGGTGTCCTTCGATCTCCCGAGCCACTTCCAAATAAAATTAGCTAAGAATATCGAACAGAACATTCGGCGGTCCGCGCGCCGCATGTGCGCGAGTGTGCATCTTCGCCGGAAACATCGTCGATACGGCACGAGGAACCAGATCGTCTACCGAAGAAGAGACCGCGTTGAAGAAGAAAGAAGAGGGTAGCGACTCGGGAAGGAGATTGCGCGAGCGCAATCAGACAGGAGATGACCATATCGTACGCGAGCGAAGTGCCGAACGGCTCCAGCTTTGGCTGTTTCTGGAGGATTCTGATCAAGTGAGTCTCGCAACTCGCTAGCTCGTTTCAATATGTTGAATGAATGTATGCGTTTTTTTTTGCGACTACGCTTGACGTAGGCACCGGAGCTGTCAACTCGCTGGCAGCTGACAGGTGAGATCGGTAATAGGCGCGTGGAGCCTTGGCAAAAGTTGCTTTTTGCGTATTTCTCGATTCCAATCGTTTGTCAAATGCAAATAGGTATAATATCGGTTCTATCTTAATTTTTAGACAATACGTTACTGATGATCGATTTAGCTTATGTTAGAGATATCTCGATATTTTATTTGCTGTTACGAGTACTTTGCTTTCCCAAATTTTTTATCACTTGTAATCGCCCCCCAAAGATTGCCAGATCTACTTTTACTTTCGCTAAGTTGCATAAATTATGGTGATAGTATTTTAAACTGAAACCCGAACACATGCGATCGGCCGTCGGCATCGCGATTACGCGATTATTGCAAAACGCAGCAGTTTCGTGATACGAATTTGTCAAGGAACATCGGAATGTATCGGTGGATCAAGGTTTCGTCACATATCTTCAGTACAGAATGACCCATGAAATTAGAGCGGTCTAGTTGTCTGGACTTCTAGACATCGAGATTATTATCAGTATGCCACGTAAGATGAAGACATTGCGCTACAACGACCGGCTGATCGTTGTGCAACGTGTAACTTTCGAGTCAATGTGCCACGCTCTCGATTTATAGCTTAGTTACACAGAAGAAGCTAGGAAAGGACAAATATCTTTAAGCAAAAACTCGATTAAACAATCGCACCAAAGATAGGAAGATGACCGTTAGGTATACCAAAATTTGCATATCGATCAAGAACGTTCCAATAGTTCTATATAACTACAGTCGCGTGTTTCAAAACCCGTCAAAGAATTAGCATCGCCGGTTTAGTAAAACCAAAACACCGGAAGTGTCCCAAATTTTTCAACTAGTACAGAAAACTCGAATCGCACAGCAGCGGAGCACGTAAAACCCGCTAGCATAGAAATGGCGTTCGGTCAGCGCTTGCACGCGCGTTTTAAGGAAATAAGGTCGCCGATACGTCGATTTTAAAACGTAACGGCGCGCACGGCCGTTGTGCCCGGAATATATCGCCACTGAAAATTATTGCACTACTACACGCCCGGCCCGCGCGTCTCTTATCTGCCACACAATGGATAACAATGGTAATGTTTATGCCGGAGGGATTGACATGACAACATCGGCCGGACAAGTGTTTAATCGAGCCACTCGTATGGATATGTAAGCCTATCATATGTTCAGAATACACCGTGGTATCATTAAAGTCGTATTTCTAAATGAGTGTGAAGCACCATGTAAATTATGTGACACATCTCTCTCGCAAATGTTTTTATTTAATTTAAGGAGAGTGCGAGATGAGAAAAATTGATTAACGACATTAGATTTTCATTGTTCCGCTAATACATGTCTTTCGAAACGAAAGAAAACGACGACAATAGATATTATTAAATGTTATTGCTAATTATTAATCATAATTACTTGTTACACATATAAAGTTTTGATATCATACTTTTATATATTAACATTTCTGCGTTACTATTGCATGTTACTACTGATGATATTGAATGTTTTGAAAAAAATCTTCATATCTTGTTTCTACTTAAATATTAATAAATATTAAGCTTTTATAATATGAAATTATTGCTTAAAAAACAATTTTTTTTCTTCGTTTTTTAAACCATTATATAATCATTCTCGTAAATCGGTATAATCGGTGACATCAATGCTTGTCGAGAGCGTCTACGCGATTCAGTGTCGACAATTACGTATGAAATTAAATGTTATGCAACGTGGAAATTTTTTAGAATATGATGTAGATATGAAAGTGTGCGATAATGTACAATTTCAAATAGAAATGATACGAGATATTTGAGTACAATGTTTAATTGCTGAAAAATTTCCGAAAAAACGGCAAACAGAGTCACTTGATTAAATAAAATTCTTTCGAATATACGGATACGTCAAGAATTGCTCTTCACATATACGACCATTTCTTAAACATAATCGCAAAATAAAGCTTAAAATAAAAACTTACCTCATTATGCTTGCATAAATGGAAAAAAGAAAGGAGAAAAGTATAGAAATGTGTCATATATATTTTTTTAATATCACACATTTCTCCACACTACACACGCAACTTCTCCTCTTGTTTAGCTGGATAATAACCGAAGAAATCATAAAACAAATGTGTTAATTGTGTTCTAAGTCGTTCGCATGACATTAACTACTATCGATTTTATGAATGATTCGCGGAGAAACATATATCAACGAGAGTTAACGAATTAAATTATTCCTCTATTCATATTGCTGAATATAGAATCGAAATTTATGTAAAATTATTTTTATTACCTGAAACCTAATGTATAAATGGTACAAAAAATATTCTTGAAAATTCAATATGTAGTTTTATATATGATTTATATAATTACTAGAAATATAAAAGTCAATCTATATTATTTATATATAACCTATATTATTTATATATAAATGTCCACTTTTTTTGGATATGCTACACTTATTTTATAACATTTAATGAATATGTATATTAAAATAAATTATCAGTTTGAATAACACAGTAATGTATCAAAATTGATGCAATTTCGCGCGTTTTACAATACCCACAAAAATGCATCTAACAGCACCATCCTATTGCCATTCGCGTTGTCCTTGTCCAAGCCCATTTGTTGACATTTCTACGACCTTTACACATTGTGTGGTATTAGTGGATGCTCCCTAGTCTCTCGGTTTCTCTCCATACGCCTCGGTGGAAACGGCCTTAACGGCTTTCACGTAAGATCTCGCTTTCCTATGCGCGTTATACCACAACACCGCAGTAGTTAAAGGAAAGACGACAGCGGCTAGTCTATAAATACGCAGGAATGTCCAGGAATAGAAAATCTTTCGCGGTAGCGTGCAAACGAGAGCGCGTGTAAGTACCCTGTAAATCGGTTCCCCTGAAATTATGATTACCTGCAATCCGCGGAGAAAGGAATGTCTATAGTTACGTTTCCCTGCAATTCTTGAAGGTTCAGATGTATATTTTTTTAAATTTTAACGGTTTTCCCGATCATCCCCTTTGTACACGACTGGGTTTGCTTCTGAATGATTCCGAATGATTGCGAGTGGTGATTCGTTGCGATAGGCGCCATTTATACGAAAAAATAAATCGCTATCTACCGGTTGTTTGTGCAAAACCGGATGATCCTGCTCCGCGATGTTTCATTATCATCGTTTTGCTTCTTGAGTCGCAGCGAAACGCGTGGCTCTCCTTTTTCTCATTACAATCTTCCGTGGTGACCCATACCAGCTTTCTTATCCGCCTACCCGGTGCCTACCTGGCAAAAGGAAACAGCACGATCGCCGATCTATAAATACCTGGGAGAGCCCCCCGGAACATACTATAAATACGTAGTTGATATCCAGGAATAGAAAATCCTCTTACCTGCTTTTCCAGTACGCTGATAACGATCGCGCCGGCAAATTCTGACACGTAGAGCAGATCTGTTACGAGGTTACTGATACGATCCTTAGGACGATTTCTGCTGCGTCGATCGCGGGGAGACGCGCGCTCGCGTATGTGTTATACGTGCATGGCTAAGGGCCAATTCCCTCGACTTCTTTCGAAGGTTAAATCGACGTGAATTCCATCATTGATTTGTGCTCTCACGCTATCTTTTCCATCACTTTCCTCTTTCTAATATTTTCACGCAATTGCTTCTTTTATACTTGGCATACTTATGATCTTCGTAATCACGACGAAAGAAATAGTTCCGCCCGCGAGTATGCTTGGGATTTGATAATAAACGACCATACGGAATGTTGGAAATATTTCATGACGTGTCAACGATACACAAAAGCGAAACGAGAAGCTAAAGTATTTTCATGCCTCGGTTATCGCCCCAGGCATGACGTTTGTTGCAACAAGTGCCTGCATATACGCGCTGTTACAGCTGGCCCGATCACGCGCGCGAAATACACGCAGCGCATGAACGGAAGAACCATGGCGGCGAATCGCACGCGTGAAAGCAAGAACGGTTTCGCGCCGCCCCGGTGGAGTTGCCGTATGTATCGCCACGTTTGTCTTCGTAGATTCATCGTGGAGGCACGACAAATCGGCCACGGATCGATACAATCGGCAAAACAACGTTTGCCTTCAAACTGGCACGCAGTCGATGCGCAAGGCCGGCTTTGCGCTGGCAAAATTTGTGCAGATGTTTGCAGAATTACAAACAGCCCGTTGTGAAATGAAAAAGCGCGTGTCGCTGAACGATAGGCCAATCATGATGAATCGTCACGTACTTTATGTAGGACGCGAAATAAGATACGCGTGTGTTGAAAATGTTGTTCTGAAACAAGGAAAACCCAGGTGTAAATGGAATTACCTGATTATTGACGTGATTACGGGAAAAGAATATGTAATTACTTAAAATTATTGATGTATTCATATTTCTCTACATGCAGAATATTACACGACAGTAAGTTTAGTTGTAAGATTTTAGCGCCTGAGATTTGAAAAAAAATTATTTGTGCATAAAATTTTCCTGTTATGGAAAAAACTAATTATAAAATAAGGAAAATTCTCTGTTTTTTTTCCGTGCATATAATTTGATGTGTTTTAGACAGATATTAAACAATTTACATTTGTAGTCATAAAACATTGCGTATCTATATATTATTTATATATTAAATAATTTTGAGTTATATCGTTTATATTAATTAAGAAATTTACTAAAACAATTTTTTTATAAAATGAAAGTTTTTAGAAAATTAATAAATTTTTTAGAAATTTTTTTTAGAAAAAATATTCTTAATTTGACAATAGAATAAAAAAAGAGAAGGACTTGTTAATCAATAACTAAAATTAAAAATAAATCGTATTTTGTAAAAACTTTATTATTTGGAAATGGATAACCAATTTTATTGTAAAAAAGTATCAATAAAAACTTGTCTTATACGACTTCACGA